TACTAAAAATAGAAAGAAATTAATTGGCCAACTAAAAATATATATACAAAAAACTAGCCGGGCATGGTGGCACATGCCTGTAGTCCCAGCTACTTGGGAGGCTGAGGCAGGAGGATCGCTTGAGCCCAGGAGTTTGAGGTTGCTGTGAGCTAGGCTGACGCCACGGCACTCACTCTAGCCTGGGCAACAAAAGTGAGACTCTGTCTCAAAAAAAAAAAAAAAAAATAGGACATTGGATAAATAAGTTACAATACGGTACAATCATGTAATCAGATATTGTGCAGCCATTGAAAATGATGTCTTTGAGCCATTTTGCTTTTGACAAATATTTTTTAAATTTGGTTACACAAGCTTCTGACATCTGCCTAATACCTAGATTTCCATATGGTCTCTAGATGTACTGTAATAAATGCAGCCTTTCTCCTACTGGAGATGGTTAGGTTATTTCCAAGGTTTTTCCCCTTTTAAACAGCACTGAAGTGTCCCCAACCCCTGGTTACTCATCTCCAACCTGGCAGGTGGTCGGGAACAATTGCAGTCAGCACTCCCTGGAGCATCCCGTGGTCAGCACGTCATGGAATGCATTCTTCTCGGAGCTATAGCTGGAATTTTCCAGGGCGAAGCCCGTGCGTAGGACGAGTCATAGGGGAGTTGAGGGTCTTCGAGGGTCCTTGCCTCTAACACTGAAGCAAGCATGTGGACATTTAGATGCATACTAAAAACTAAAAAATATGTTGAAAGTCAGCTTCAGAAGCAGATTCTAATCGTGGGACCTCATGCAGAGCTGCTGGGTCTCTGAGCCAGTCCCACAAGCTTGCTGAGAGCCACAGACTCCATAGGTCCTTCCAGAACTAGAAGAAATATTCATAGTCATTCTCATTATCACAACTCCCAGGATACCAGATTTGTATCAATTTTTCATGGTTATCTTCCTTAAGGTTTCCACAAACAAATCCAGAAACTACATAGGGACAAATTTACTTGTTTATGGAATGAGAACTCCACGTGAGGTATGTGCAGGAAGTCTTGCAACAAGGAGCTAAGGAATTTTTGTAGTAAGTAAAGAATGCCCATGTATAGTTGAAGATGCAAAGGCAAATAGGCACACATGATTTCCCAAGATGGACCCTGGGCAGGACAATAGCCTTGTAGCCATTTATGTACTTTTTGGTTATTTCTTGTTATAGCCAATTGTTCTGCCCCACCCTCCACCACTTGCTAATCCAAAATAGGAAGACCAGGGGAAAAGAGAGCTAGCATGGTTTTGGTTTGTTGTGTTCTATTTTGACAGCAGAGCCAAAGGCAGCAGGAGCCTGAAGTGGCAACTATATTGGTTAGACTCTGGTTGCAAGTAATAAAAACCAACTCAATTAGAGATAACCTGGAATCTACCAGTTTAGAGGCCATAAGGGGGAGAGAGCTCAGCATGAGAAGGACTTACAGGGTCTCTAAGCTCCATCAGGCAGAGGAGAGGGCCAGCTTCTGCTGGAAGTGACGCTCAGTGGGTTGGGGGTTTCAGCAGGCTCCAGGTCATCCGAATCTCTCCGAGTGGCCCCATTCCAAGTCACAGGATTCTACTCTTTCCTGATCAGAGTTTTAATGCTCATGTAATAACAGTTTTTAGCCCATTATAGGTCATCAATGTAAGACAGAAAACAAAGCTGCAGAGACCTGGCAGCCCAAGCTGCAATTTTTGGAGCTTCACATTCAGCATAGTCAGAAATTCCCTGGTTCTTTGAAAATATCATAAGCCAAACTATAAGACTTTGAGTTTATAATTTCTCTTTTTGTCTCCAGAGTATTTAAAAGGAGCCAAACAGCCCCACAGAGTTGACCTTCTTGTTTTTATCATATTCCATGATAGCTGTAGCTATTCATTTCCCCCAAAGCTTTGCCTTCAACAGATAATGGCATTCCACTTAACGACCAAGTCCTCATTGAATTAACAGTCCTGCCACTGGTGCCATGAGCTGCCAGAGCCCCCCTTTCAAACTGACTGCATTCTCACTGTCTTAAGACCCACTCAGTCCAGATAACAAACTTTAGATACCCATTTTGTTGAAGGTCTATTGTTGGGCACCATTCCTGGTACCAACGTGTAAGGGAGAGTTTTGTTTTTTGGTTTTTTTTGAGACAGAGTCTCACTCTCTTGCCAGGGCTAGAGTGGCATGGCATCAGCCTAGCTCACAGCAACCTCCAACTCCTGGGCTCAAGAGATCCTCCTGCCTCAGCCTCCCAAGTAGCTGGGACTACAGGCATGCGCCACCATGCCCGACTAATTTTTTTGTATTTTTTTTTAGTTGTTTGGCTAATTTCTTTCTATTTATAGTAGAGACACGGTCTCGCTTTTGCTCAGGCTGGTCTCGAACTCCTGAGCTCAAGCAATCCTCCCGCCTTGGCCTCCCAGAGTGCTAGGATTATAGGCGTGAGCCACCACGCCCGGCAAGAGTCAGTGTTTCTAATTACCAAAAATAAAAACAAAACAGAATCCATCATGGCTAATTTAAGCAGAAAAAGACAGAAGTTACAAAGGATTTTCTAGAGACCTTAGGTAACTCCCAGACTCATTAGAGGGTGAGAGGAAAGGCTTTGAGGCTGAGCTTTGTGAAGCAACTCACAAAGCCACACCATAGTCACAGCCTCTACTGAGACCTGCATGCTGGGAGCTTGACTTTCCTGCCAGCATAATTGCATACAACACGGATGCCATCAGGAACTCACTCTTGCCACCACTGCTTCCTCCAGAAACCAGGGTCACTGCTACCACCAGCACCAGCGAAGCGGAATCCCCACACAGACCCTGTTCCATCATCCGGTCGCTGTCAAGTTGAAGCCAGCACAGATGTGTCTGATGGGTGTGACTGGGAAGCGTCCCCACACCTCCTGACAACAAGGCTAGGAGTCTGAGTTCACACTTCTTGGTAGGGGAGGCAGATTTCATAACACGGGGATTTATCCAACTGGAGAAAGGCATCTAGAGAGTGATGGGAAGCCCCAAAAGTGACAGATGCCCACTCCCATGACAGAACTGAAATAGTTCGCATTAGCCTACTGGGTTCTAGCTATGGCCAGGTCTTACTGTCCTTCAGAAGGCAGCACAGTAGTGGGAATCACCTCGGGGCTTCTGCTTTTCACCAGCAGGACGTTTTGTAAGAGTTCAGAGTCTGAGATACTTCTTCTGAACATAAGAAATTTTAATTAGATCATCTCAAAATTCTAATATTATAGATTTCTTTGACTGTAAATCCATGATACTGCAATTGTGAATGGAAGAAACATCAACCCACCGTTTGCACTTGTCACTGTCCCTGGAACTGTGCAACTTGTCCAAAGTAGACATGGACCTTTCTCTCTAGGAGTTTAGGTTCAAGGATCAACAACAGTCACTAGCAGGAACATTTGGGAAATATGTTGTGCAAAGATGTAAGGCAAGTGAACCTGTCCTTTCTTCACATCATCTTCACAGAGCATTTAGTTATCAGAGTGTCACGTAATGGAGCAAGAGGTCATGGTAATATTGAGAGGAACCGCTGGGACCCTGAGCTAGGCAGTTTTCCTGGAGACGTCACAGCTGGGATTCCAAATGGAGGCATATGACAAAGACACCAAGATAACATTACATCTTCTGCAAAGCATGACAGGGATGAGGGAGATGAATACATGAACTGGCAGAGCAAGGAAAGTTGAATGTCAAAGGCCAGTTTGATGAATATCCAGAGCCACCAAGCAGGGCACTGAGGAACCTTTCCTTGAAAGAAAGTTGAAAATTGAACCTCCAATACCAGTGAAAGCAACCATACCCTAAAATCACCCTGGGCTATTTCAGTACACTTACAGATTACCAATGACATGACTGTTAATATTTTATGACTCTAACTTGCACTTCTAAAAGTTCTAATTAATCTCACTAGATAAAAACTGGCAAGCATGCTGATACAAATGAGAATCGCAGCCTCCTTGCAATGTCTGTGTGCCAACTCATCTGGGATCCTGCGATGATTTGCCCTGTCTCAGCTCCATAAAGGGACCAATAATTAGCATTTGGAAGCTAAGGCACACTTCCCCACTGGATGCCATTTGCTGATTGTTAATTAATTAATTGATTAACAGTTCCTCTAGCACTGGCTAGTAAAGACCCTTCAAGGCGTTCTTCCCAGGCCCCTCTTCCCCCCAAACACACCCTGGCAGGAGAAAGATTTCTGTAACATCCTGAAAGCAGGGCTACATCTTAGACATTGTCTCAGTAGCTTACATAATGCCTTTCACACAAAAAATACTTGTAGAGTAAATGAGTAAATGGATGGATAGATTGATAGACACATGAATACGTATGGCACACTTCCTATTTTTCTCCTATGTCATAAACTTATTTTCTAAACTTTGGGTGATATTTAAGTTTTTTCCACCCCTAATTTCTTTTTCTTTTATTTATTTTATTTATTTTTTTTTTGAGACAGAGTCTCACTTTGTTGCCCAGGCTAGAGTGAGTGCCATGGCGTCAGCCTAGCTCACAGCAACCTCAAACTCCTGGGCTCAAGCGATCCTGCTGCCTCAGCCTCCCAAGTAGCTGGGACTACAGGCATGCGCCACCATGCCTGGCTAATTTTTTCTATATGTATCAGTTGGCCAATTAATTTCTTTCTATTTATAGTAGAGACGGGTCTCGCTCTTGCTCAGGCTGGTTTCGAACTCCTGACCTCGAGCAATCCACCCGCCTCGGCCTCCCAGAGTGCTAGGATTACAGGCATGAGCCACCGCGCCCGGCCCCTAATTTCATTTTAAGAGTAAGGAAACAGGCTTCCAAAGGTTAAGACGATGTATGTCAGCTATTAATAACATAGGCTAGATTATAAATTCTAGTCTAGTCTTTTGTCACTAGAGAAAGGTGACCTTATGTAGTTTCAGCTATCCACACCCACTTATATTCTCAGTAGTCTTCATATTCTGCCTTTCATTTCTGGCAGGATTGCTGGCTGGATCAGGAAGTCCAGCAGAACATGATTGATCGTCACCAACACGCAGAGCCCGTCTCACCCACGAGTGTGTTTTCCCTCCCAGGACCTGACCCCTGGACACTGCTATGTAGATCCTGTGCTCCACTCCAGCTGCATATCCTGCCACTCCTACAGGGTGTGATTGGAGAATGAGGTACAGTAAGGAAGTGGCTGGGGAGGGTGGGAAGATTGCTCATGGAGGAGCATCCTGGCCCATGGGCACCGTGGCCATGAGAAATGTGAGACTTGCAGCTTTTTTGAGAAGTCTGTAAACCTTACCAGGCAATGACAAAGTAGAAGTGGGGATGGCCCTATCTCACTGTCTGTGTACTGTCTGTGCAGCCTCTGCATTTGAGAGCAGGCCAGAGACATGGGATCTATTTCAGAGTCTCTAGCTTTAAATTATAATATCATTCTATTAATAGATCATTTAAAACCTGTGATGAAATTAATTTTAAGCTAATGATAATTCTTCAATGGGAAAAAAGATTAAATTCAAATCAACTCATTCAGATTGCCTAGAAGATTACAGAGTTTAAACTACTAACCAAAAAAATAATAATAATAAATAAATAAGGCCCGGCGCTGTGGCTCACGCCTGTAATCCTAGCTCTTGGGAGGCCGAGGCGGGTGGATTGCTCAAGGTCAGGAGTTCAAAACCAGCCTGAGCAAGAGCGAGACCCCGTCTCTACTATAAATAGAAAGAAATTAATTGGCCAACTGATATATATATATAAAATTAGCCGGGCATGGTGGCGCATGCCTGTAGTCCCAGCTACTCGGGAGGCTGAGGCAGGAGGATCACTCGAGCCCAGGAGTTTGAGGTTGCTGTGAGCTAGGCTGACGCCATGGCACTCACTCTAGCCTGGACAACAAAGCGAGACTCTGTCTCAAAATAAATAAATAAATAAATAAACTACTAACCAAAATGAGAGAATTAGAAACATTTCATTTATCTTTGCTTCCCATGAGGCACAGATAATAAAACTTTACACTTATATGGCACTTTTAACATTTCAAATCTATTATTTGCTTTTCTGAGATGTATATAGAAGGTGTCATTATCCCATTTAACAAATAATGAAACTGTACTCTGGAAATTGAAATAAATTCACCATGAAATCACTGGGTTGGAGTTGTATGGTTACAATGGGAAAGGATCTTAGAAATTATCTATCCAAACACCTCTTTTTAGAGATGAAAAAACAATTTTCAATCTTCTCTTTAATCTTAAAATAACTTTTCTCTGAATATCATCATCTCGCTATCTGTAATAAATGACCTTGTGTGTCATTACCAACTAACTCACCTGATAACACTTGGAATAAACAAAGCCGGTGTGATGAATTTTCATCCTTCCTGTTTTGAAAGATAATTTTAAAGGTACAATTATAATTCCTTTTTAATTATAAAATGCACTCATGTCAAAGATTTTATTTAACTCATTAACTAATGGGGGAACCAGTAAGATGTTACAACTGATTCAAAAGATAATTTAAAGAATAGGCAATAATGTAAAATGACTTTACAATATATGCAAGATAGGTCTATCCACAGGGCAAAAATAAATTGCATTCCATCAGACACAATTAATTTGCATTTCTATGGACAAGAATCATTTGCATTATTATCAGTTTTCTACAATTTACAGAGTTATAAAACAGCTTAAAGACAAAGAAAGGCTGAGATAGCCTAGAAGCATAAACTAGACAAAATACACCCAGTAATCTTTTTGGTCCATTTCAGTCTTTCATGGTTTTTTCCTACACTAGGAAGAATTCATTCTTGAATTCTACAAAACATTGAAGAAATAAATAATTGTAACTCTACACAAACTCTTCCAGAGAATCAAAAAGGAAGGAACACTTCTCAATATATTCTATGAGGCCAGCAGTACTCTGTTATCCAAAACAGACAAAGACATTATAAGAAGTAAGACTGTTGATCAATATTCCTCATGAACATAGATGCAAAAATTCTTAACTAATAAAATATACCAATATTTTAAAAAGATAATACATCATGACCAAGTGGGGTTTATCCCATGAGTGTAAAGTTGTGTTTTTTTTGTTGTTTGTTTGTTATTTATTTTTTATTTCGACATATTATGGGAGTACAGATTTTAAGGTTTCAATAAATGTCCTTTCCCCCTCTCCCCCCACACGTCTGAGTTTCCAGCATGACCACCCCCCAGATGGTGCACATCTCACTCTTTATGTATGTATATACCCACCCCCCTGCCCCCTCTCGCCTGCCCATTACCCTATTACTGTAGTACCTATGTGTCCACTTAGGTGCTGCTCAGTTAATACCAGTTTGCTGGACAGTATATGTGGTGCTTGTTTTTCCATTCTTGGGATACTTCACTTAGTAGTATGGGTTCCAGCTGTAACCAGGAAAATATAAGATGTGCTATATCACCGTTGTTTCTTAGAGCTGAATAGTACTCCATGGTATACATATACCAGATTTTATTAATCCATTATTGGATTGATGGGCACTTGGGCTGTTTCCACAGCCTTGCAATTATGAATTGTGCTGCTATAAACATTCGAGTGCAGGTGTCTTTTTTGTAGAGTGTCATTGGATCTTTTGGGTAGATGCCCAGCAATGGGATTGCTGGATCAAATGGTAGATTCACTTCTATCACTTTAAGGTATCTCCATATTGCTTTCCACAGAGGTTGAACTAGTTTGCAATCCCACCAGCAGTGTAGGAGTGTTCCTCTCTCTCCGCATCCACGCCAGCATTTATTGTTTGAAGACTTTTTGATAAAGGCCATTCTCACTGGAGTTAAGTGATATCTCTGTTAAGTTGTTGTAACATTTGCAAATCAATCAATGTAAGTAACTCTATTAACAGACTCAAGAAAAAAAAAATCTCAATAGATGCAGAAAAAACATTTGACAAATCCTATGATCCATTCCTAAAAAAATCTCCCAGCAAACTAGGAATCGAAGGGTACCTCTTTAATCTTTCTACCTGAAAAAGACATCTATGAAAAACATAGAACTAACATCATACTTAGTTGTGAGGGACTGGATGCTTTCCTTTTAAGATCAGGCACAAAGCAAGGATGTCTACTCTCACCACTTGTATTCAGCAGTGCACTGGATGTTCCAGACAGGGAAATAAGGCCTGAAAAATTAATAAAGAGAATGGGCTGGGCACAGTGGCTCCCGCTTGTAATCCTAGCAATCCAGGAGGCTGAGGCAGGCAGATCGCTCAAGATCAGGAGTTCGAAACCAGACTGAGCAAGAGTGAGACCCCGTCTCTACTAAAAATAGAAATTAATTGGCCAACTAAAAAATATACATAGAAAAAATTAGCCGGGCATGGTCGAGGATGCCTGTTGTCCCAGCTACTGGGGAGGCTGAGGCAGGAGGATTGCTTGAGCCCAGGAGTTTGAGGTTGCTGTGAGCTGCGCTGATGCCATGGCACTCTAGCCTGGGCAACAGAGCAAGACTCTGTCTCAAAAAAAAAATAAAAAAATAAAGTTAATCATTCACTATGTATATATGCCAGGCATTCCACTCCTACTCACTGACCCAAGAGAAATTAAAACATATGTCCATACAAAGACTTGTACACAAATATTCTTAGCCACTCTGTTCAAAATTGCCAAAATTTAGGAACAACCCAAATGTCCTTCAGCAGATGATGGGCAAACTGGTGCATTCATACACTGAAATCCAGGCAAAAGTGTGGATGAAATACAAACTGACCTATAGGGACAGATTCATGGTGTCCTTGGGACGTGACTGAGAGTGTGGTGATGGATGAAGGCTGGGAAGAGGCAGGAGGAACAGGTTACAAAAGGGTATGGGGAGACCTTTGGGAGTGATAATATTCATTATCTTGATTGTGTTGACAGTTCCGTGAGAGTATATATCTGTCAAAACTTATTAAAATGTACCTGTTATGTTTGTGTAATTTGTTATATATTAATTGTACTTCAATAAAGCTATTTCTATATAACACCTACCACTGGAATATTTTGTTGCTTTTTCATGCAATTTAGGTTGCCATTCCATCACATGGCACCATTCGAGAGGCTTGCTTTGGAATTTTAACCTAAATGTAAGTTGATAGCCCTATAGCTATAGGCCTATACCAATGCCATGTCCATTTCTTATCTTTGAGACTGGACTGCCCCCAAGCATGGAGTATTCTTGGAGTGATTATCCAAGACAGGGTACTGCAGATTCTATGTAGTGAAGACCTGAGCACAAACTCTCCCACCTTGGTCTACTGGATAGATACACTTAGCTGATCTTGCTTCCAGGGCAGAGTAACTCTCAGGAGTGCCCACCTGCACAGAACAATCTTCTCTGACAGAGTAAGACTGTTTTCAGCCAAGAGTATAACTCAGTTTAATTTCAGGGAGTTCTCTATGGCTGATAACAACATAGTCCAAATGGAGATTGTTGAAGAGACTTGCAAGAATGGAGAATCAGGCTGAGGACTGGATCCCAAACTTGGTAGACTTTGTAGCCTGCCTGTGCCTTTGGTAGTTGGGAAGTTGATACCAGTTGGCAAGGGGGAAGAATGAGCTTGGCTGGGTTTTTAACTTGACCTCTTCAACATAAAATCAGCCCATAATATTTGTACTATCCCCAAGATAAAAGGGCAGTACCACCCCTACTTCCTTTCCACAAAAACCTGTCAGACTGAATTGTTCTTCAATTTTGTTCCCTTTCATGGACATTTTAACCATGTTTGCCCCTAATAAAACAGTGGGAAATGAAGTCACAGGAACACAATCTATCCCCTGAATTACATTTCTTCCTCTTCCCTCATAGCCTCACCCATCCATGTAGAATTTGGAAAGCTAAGCAGTGCAGCCTAATCACCCTTACGCTTGTCAGTAACATTCATGAACAGAGAAAACATACAAAATATATATGCAAATAGCTAAATTGAGATTTTAAAGAAGTCAGTGAGGATAGATTTGAATACCCAAAATGGGATGAAATGAAGAGAATGGTGAATTTCACCATCTTGTTACCTAAGATGGTGAAAATGAGGTCACTGAAAAGAATGGGATTCGCCTGTCTTCACTAGCATCTAGCCAAGTCCAATAAGTTCGAGAAGCTTCTTCCCAGCAGGGACAGTACATCAGGAAGCTGGTTCAGACAATAATTTCTCTAATAGCTCCACCCAGGAACAGAGAGCTTTGGAATCACGCAAAAGATTGCCATGGCGAACAGACTTCACATCGCAGAGATGACCAGGGTCTCTCCCTATAAAACTGGAAATCCCCAAGTCCAGAGCAGCATCTTGGAAAAAAGCCACAACAAAGTTGCCAGCTCAGCTCATTAATAACGACAACAGTAATAAGAGCAGCATTTACTGAGCAGTTACTACAGGCCAGACATTATGCTAAATGCTCCAAATACCTTCTTTTACCTGACCCTAACAATGTGCGCGGTGCACATTGATGGAAGGACATTTCCAGCTGTACTCCTAAATGAAACAAGAAACACGGGAAGAATCGAATGGTTTTTCTACCCCTGATTGCAGAGAATTTAAGGAGAAGAATCTGGCCTGGGCATGCAATAACCACATTTTTTAGAGAGTTGCAGGCACTTAAAAAAGGCAAATAAGCATCTTCTCACCCTGACACAGTAGAGCCAGGTGACATGCAAGGGAGACACTAGGCTGGTTTGGCTTTCTGACCCATTTGCTGCTGTAAAATCTCAGGTTCTCTGCTTATCTTCTGGATACAGAGATGTAGACAGTTTGCCTTCTCCTCTCCAAACCAAAAGCCATTATAGACACGGACATGTGATTCCACTTCCCGACCAACACATATTGAGGGCTCACTTTAATTAAAACCTATGTATGCCTGGCACTGGAGTTACAAATATAAGGACAGCCTTCTCAGGCTTGCGATGTGTGGAAGAAGACACAAAAATAAGCAGACACTTATTACAAGGGGGCGAGTGGGGAGAGACACGCAGGAGGTGGGTTAATAAGGTCCGAGCAGCTTTCTGAGGGTCTGAGGGGAATCTTAGAGGATGAAGATGCCTCAGCCAGGCTTTCTGGCTGTTAGTGGCAGCGGTTTGTTTAATGTATGCTTGGGAGGGCAGTTGGGGGAAGGGACCCAGCAAAGTGGTAAAGAGCAGGAATGGCGTTCATGTGCCTGGGAATGGCTCACAATTTGGTCCCCAGAAAGGGAAGTTTGAAACCGGAAGCAGGAAGAGGAGGCAGAAGAGGAGGCTGAGCCCAGCTCAAGCTGGGCCTTCTATACCTGTTGAGAAGAACCTTTTCCTTAAGAGGAAGGGAGACCTTAAGACTTTTAAACATGGAAGAGGTTAGGTAGATTTTTCACTTTAAAATAATCATTCTATTGCCTGTGTAGAAGATTCATGTGAGAAAGGCAAACCAGAGGATTAGCGGTCAAGGGGTGGGGACAGACAGCCCAGAACTCCTCAGCTTTGCGGGGGCCTGAGGGGCGAGAGGCGGGACTCCGGCCTTTCCCCCAGTTCCGAGGCTGGCACCGGGCCCTTTTGTAAGCGTGTCTCTGTCAGCTCTCCAGATCTCATTTCACTACAAGCCTTCCGGCTCTAGCCGCTCCAGCCCTCCAACAATACAACGAGGCATATGGTAAACACTCAAAAATGCTTTTGAATAGTTCAGTGAATGGAATAATTAATTGATTAATCACTCTGCTGAGTAAATTGCAGCTGAACATAAGTACATTGCTTCTCCCATTTTCTTTTTCTTTTTCCCAGAGCTGGAGCGCTGCCAGGAGATGCTGACAGTCTGCTTCAGGTTATGGTGACTGAAATCAAACATTGGTGGGGTTCTCTGTGGTTGCAGAAAGGGGCTGGTCCGGGGCTTCAGTAGCAGGGCGGGATTTGCCCTCCCCATTGTAGGGAAGAAGGTGGACTTGCCGAGAGCAGCCTGGCCTGGGTCTGCACAGCCACTAGGCCCATGCGTCCTGGATTTAACCTTCCAGGGCAGACGTGGGTGGGAGGGTCCAAGGCTGGTCCTGGGGACCGAGGGCGGTGGTGGTGACGTGTCTAAGACTATTTTTCAACTTGGCCTCAGGTGACACTGAATCATACAACCATTGAATTTTAGATCATCTGATAGTCAGCCCAGCCTCCACACACACTTTTTGAACAAATGAGGCCCAGAGGTTGGTTTGCCCCAGGTTACACAGCTAGTTAATAAGGTAAAGAAGCCCAGACTTCTTGACAAGCAATAAAACAAACAAAAACCCCAAAACAATCACACCAAAAAATTGGCTACCGTGCAGTGGTGTCAGCCTAGCTCACAGCAACCTCAAACTCCTGGGTTCGAGTGACCCTGCTGCCTCAGCCTCCGGAGTAGCTGAGACTACAGACATGCGCCACCATGCCTGGCTAATTTTTTCTATATATTTTTAGTTGGCCAATTAATTTCTTTCTATTTTTAGTAGCAATGGGGTCTCGCTCTTGCTCAGGCTGGATTCGAACTCCTGACCTCGAGCGATCCTCCCACCTCGGCCTCCCAGAGTGCTAGGATTACAGGTGTGAGCCACCGCACCCAGCCTCCCAAATTTTTTTAATTAAAAAAAAAAAAAAGCAGCCCAGATTCAAGGGTGTGCTGTACAGAGACTTTTCATCAGCCAAGTGGCAAGCTTTATAGTGTAGCAAAAGCTGCTCTGAGTAATAAAAAACAGCAGGACCCTGTGCGCACTTCATTCTGTGGATCTTATAAAACCCACAACATTCCCCAGTTGCTGGGAGGGGACAAAGCCAAGGTTGAGTGACTCTGAGCACAGCTGTGTCTCCGGTAGAGTGCCTCAACCTTCCATATCATTCCTATTTGAATAGAGTTTACTGTGGTTTTGCTTTTCCACTGTATAAATTATAGGCAATCTGGAAAGTACCTACAGGAAGAAGACCTAATGGAAGAAGTAAAACCACCCACACCCAGATGTAACTATTGTTCAGTGTCTTTCTAAGGTCACATGCTTTTAGATCTATGAAAGACCTCTGAGATAGCCTGAACAAACATGCTGATTTTACAGATGAGGAAACTGAGGCCTAAAAGTAAGTGAATGACATGGCCAAGATCACTATTGATACAGAGGCCAGCCAGGACCAGATCACAGCACCTTGGAATTAGAAGGAAACTTGAAGATTTGGACTCCTCCCTGATGCAGGAATGCCCATGTAGAACAAAGACCAAACTGTGGCTACTTTCCTTGTCAGTGCTGGCTGAGAAGGTACCTGTCTCAGCCAGGTTATGTGGTGGAGATGAAGTGGACAGGCAGGGGACAGTCCCCCTTGTCAGGTGAAACATGTCATGGTCTCTCCACTTTCAACTCAGGCAAAAAAAAAAAAAAAAAATTAAAAGGTACCTGTCTCCCCCAAAGAAAAACCTGAAACCATGAAATATGCTACAGCATTTGTTCTCAACATGATTTTTCTGTAGCTTTGTTAAAATTATTTTTGGTAAACACAGAGGATGATCACTAGGTTATTGGGAAGAGAGTTCAGTAACAATCAGAGAAAACTGGTTGAACCATAACAAACCAAATGAAAAAAGCATTGACTTACTTCCTCATACCTTTTGTTCAACCGGAAGAGTATTTTAAAAAGCAAGTTTGTTCAAAATGTGAGGCTTCCTAATACATCTCAATCAAAACAACATTAAACAATTGAATAGAGAATCACACAAGAAAAAATTTAGTATACATATCTTGAAAAAATAATTTTTTTTTTTTTAATGAGCCACTCATTAAAATTTCCTTGGAAAGACATACTAAGTTTTAGCAAGCAACAGATGGCAAAGAGAATCTAATTGTACGTTAGCCACCATTAGTAATTTAAGATGTGAAAAATGTCATTGATATTCTCTTTATTTAAAATGTTTCCTTTAATGCTTTATTTTAATGAAGGTAGAAAATATTCATAAGGTTTTATATAGCTTCATTCAAAGTTTACATCCCGCTGTCCTAATTTTAGCTCTGGAATTCTTATGTTCCTCAACTGCAGGGTGCAGAAGTTGTAGAAGAGTTATTTTGCAAGATGAGGACAGCTGAGGATCAGAAGAGAATAGTTTGAATGCTATCCTGCTCCTGTAGTCAACAGGACTTTGCATAGGCATTAATAATAAAAGGATTAAAGTAATATTTTAGGAAAATCTAATCTGGCCTTCGCATGTAGAATGGATCAAGTGGGGAAGAAGAAAATGGCAGTGGATACATCAATCTGGAGGGTCCTGAAATGTGAAGGAGGTGGGTTTCTACAATTAAGAGACAATAGGCCAGGCACGGTGGCTCATTCCTATAATCCTAGCATTCTGGGAGGCCAAGGTGGTAAGATCGCTTGAAGCCAGGAGTTCAGGACCAGCCTGAGCAAGAGCAAGACCCTGTCTCTACAAAAAATCGAAAAATTAGCTGGGGGGGGATGGTGCATGCCTGTAGTCCCAGCTACTTGGAAGGCTGAGGCAGGAGGATCGCTTGAGCCCAGGAGTTTGAGTTTGCAGTGAGCTATGATGATGCCACTACATCCAGCTTGGGCAATAGAACCTGGCTCAAAAGAAAGAAAGAAAAAAAGAAAGAAAGAAAATCTCTGTCTCAGGCTGGGCGTGGTGGCTCACTCCTGTAATCCTAGCTCTCTGGTAGGCTGAGGCCGGTTGATCGTTTGAGTTCAGGAGTTCGAAACCAGCCTGAGCAAGAGCGCGACCCCATCTCTACTATAAATAGAAAGAAATTAATTGGCCAACTAATATACATAGAAAAAATTAGCCAGGCATGGTGGCGCATGCCTGTAATCCCAGCTACTCGGGAGGCTGAGACAGAAGGATCGTTTGAGCCCAGGAGTTTGAGGTTGCTGTGAGCTAGGCAGATGCCATGGCACTCATTCTAGCCTGGGCAACAAAGTGAGACCAAGAAAGAAAGAAAGAAAGAAAGAAAGAAAGAAAGAAAGAAAGAAAGAAA